TAAATAATCTTTGTTTAGATTTTTATTTTTTACTTTGAATGAAAGATTTTCAGGTTAATACAATAATTTTCTGTTTCTCTTTCTTTCTCTTTCTCAACTTTGACAAAAAAGTTGCTGACAAAAAATCAGCAAACACCTTAGAGTCATACATCTGAGCAATGCTAGAGATTCTGATTGTAAAGAAATGGGTATTTGTATAAATTTCATTGGACATTTTCTCAAAATTTCTCTATTAACCAAATATTACAACGTGTTTGCCTCTTCCTCAAAGAGAAAATATAAGTACTATAGCTCTAAAGGATCTAGTTTCTTGGGTTTCAGTTAACTAAGATTCAAATGTATTATGGCTAAAAATAATCTTGAGACTTTCATATTTTTAACAGCAAAAGAGTCTTACTTCTTTAGGTCTTGGGTGTGATACTGATGTATACAACTTTAATTTTACAGACTTAAATTTAAAACTGCTTTGGAAAAAATTCTGAATTATATACTAACAGTTGGTCTCTTATTACATTTTAGCTTCTATGGCATACCAATGAGACAAATATTTAAAATAATTAAATGCTATGAAGCTTTCAAATTACTTTAAGCTTTCCAGAACAAAATTCCATCTCAATTTGATTAGTAATTTAAATTAGAACTTTCTTGGTGAAAGTACGAGTGTTTTCCAGGTAGGAGAAATGTTATGACATTGAAACTTTTTAGCTATAATATGAAAAATACACATTAACAAATACTTTTAAAAGCCTGGTAACATGTTTCACGTTGCTTTAAACTTTCTGTATCACATTTGTTATTTTTCTATTAAACAAGGTAATAGAAAAGTGAATATAGTATATTGTGACAAAAATATTTAATAGAAAAGAAAACAGCCATGTTCTCTGTGATTATGTTCTTTTAGAGAAATCACTGTGGTGAAATAAATGCCTAGAAACAATCAACATTAGTAGTAATAAACATCACCAACAAGATGTAATCTGTAATTAATCAATCAATCATTCATTCAGCAAATTTTTGAGCACTTCCACAATGTTCATTGTACTACATCCTATGAAAAATTAGAAGTTGGGATATGAGATGATTGACAGTGAGTTATACTGTTTCACTATGACTTATCCTATAGGAAACATGTCATAAATTGCTGAACATCAAAGGTAGACATAATAACAATATGCTTAACAAATGACTGGTAAACAATTAGCTGAATGAAAAATTTGGATGAAAAGAAACAAGATCACTGTAACAAGTAAAATGATCAGGGGTGAAGTTGAGGAGTAAGAGGAATAGAAAATAATGGCTATATCCATGAAGATGGAATGGATTTCTGAGCAGAAAACTGCAGTAAGTCAGAAGGGAGTGGGACAAAGTTGAGCTATACAGCCAAGGTCTTCAATGAATGAGGGTTCAATGGATGAGCTCAGATTCAGAAGATAAACTGTCTTCAGGGAAAAACCTTTCTTCTTAGTTGGCCAAAAAGATCAAAAGCAGATAATACGAAGAATCTCCTTATTTTCAGAAAGGCCCCCATCTTCAGGTCTTCCAAGTCAAAGGTAAAGGCTGAACTAAAAAGTATCATCCAGGTCTCCTTTTCCCCCCCAAATTTCTCGTAACTACTTTATAGTCACAACTTTAATTCTCAAATATAAGGTTACTAATTGATAATTACTGATGTTCTTAACACAGGGTAAAATTCAGAGTTCTGATGAGTAGTGCTGTTTTTGAAGTCTGACTGTGTAACAGTCAACCTCTGAGACCCTCCACACCGCCTGATCCTGCATAGTTGCATGTTTCTGCCTCTTAGCTTCTACTTTCATCTCTACTCCATGGAGCAGTACTTTAAATGAAGTATGATAAGTACTTTTTAAAAAGTTGATATGCTATAGTACTGATATAATGAGTATATAAAATACTACAAATTTAACATGTAAAATATTATCAACCAGAGAGTAATATGTATACAATGTTCTATTATCCATTCCTGCTAATCTCCCCAAATCTTGGCCAAATGATGTCTACAAAGATTTCCCTGTCTCACTCTTGCAGGGTTAAGCCACTGGCTCCCACAGCACTGATATCTCTGCTGCAAGCCGTATTTCCCTCTATCTGAGTATAGGTTCACCGTGTTGTTCCTCTCTTGTCCACTAAATCGAATGCTCTTTATAGAAGGAGCCATGTCTTCATGTCTTTTTCATTCTGTGTTATCCACGATCACAGTGCCTCACCCCTAAAATTCAAGACAATCATCGAGTAACCAAATCAAACTAAATAAATCACTAGTAATATTTGTGAGCTGCTTTGTTAATAATGTCAACACACAATTATCTAGTACAAGGTCACTAATTCTAGCAGGTGAAAAAGTACTCTTAATCATACCCACTGGGAGCTTCCCAGTCTGGATCAGCCAGCATTGAACACTGTCCTTTGGGATGAGATACGACCATACTCTTTCACTTCCCCTCCCAGGACTCTTATTTGATGCATAAACACTGCAGTGTGAAGACCATGGCTCAACTATATTAATGAATTAAACTAGGTGTTCATTCCCAATGTACAAATTCCTGAGATCACAATTTAGGCCTCAAGGTTCTGGGCCAGATCAGTTGTACAAACTTATTTTGCTATTTCAACAGTTAACCACAACTTCCCAAACATTTCATCCTTTGTTGCTTTACATGTTTTTTGCTCATTTCTTTTATCTGCCTATTTTCTTCTCTACTTCCCTCTGTGAGAACCCTCATATTCCTTTAAAGTCTAATTTAAATGCCATGTTCTACATGGATCAAATGGATAAGAAGGAACAACAGATGGAGTCTAACTGATTATCAAAAGGAAACTACAAATTTCGAAGTCAAAATTGTTTAAAAAGATCAAATCATTACTGTTTTGGCATTTTCTGTAGGAAGGAATAGGATTAAATACAAGACAATACATTAGAGTAGTGAAAGTGAAGTCGCTCAGTCATGTCCGACTCTTTGCGACCCCATGGACTGTAGCCCACCAGGCTCCTCTGTCCATGGGATTTTCCAAGCAAGAGTACTGATTATCTATCATAGTTTCTGAGTGAAAAAGGAAGCAGGGTCACTATCCAAAACCAACGGTGAGGTTTCAGAGGCTTGTGTACGAGGAAGGGAAAAGGAATGGACTAACAAGATGTCACAACAGGCAGCACCTAATGGTCATGACTTTAAAGTGAGCCAGCTGGCCCTGTCCTATTTTCTCTCATGCTGCCAGCTGCATGAGTTAGGCTATGGGAGGATGGAGAATTGAAGTAACCAGGGTTGGACTATGAAGATTCAGTGAAGTGAAGTTGCTCAGTCGTGTCCAACTCTTTGCGACCCCATGGACTGTAGCCTGTCAGGCTCCTCTGTCCACAAGATTCTCTACGCAAGAATACTAGAGTGGGTTGGTATGCCCTCCTCCAGGAGATCTTCCCAACCCAGGGGTCAAGCGTGTATGTCTTATATCTCCTGCATTGGCAGGCGGGTTCTTCATTACTAGCGGCACCTGGGAGACTAGAGGAATATTTACATTCCGTACTATTCAGATTCTGATAAGAAAAGAAAAAAGACTAAGAAACTTAAGTTGTTAGGATCTAGGGCAGCCTTTCTCAAGGAAATGATTTAAGTAACTATTTTTTCATTTATCCAACGATGAAAAATAATACCATTCTAGATGAACAGGGCATAAGCTGTTTCATTACATACAATGATGTAAGATATTAATTCTATTAGAATATTAATCTTCTCATGAAATCCTGGATGAGAAGGGTAGAGAAAAATGGCCTTAGAATAAGAGGTATGATTTTTTTTAACTTTTCCTAAATAACATACTTATTCCATCTGGATCACTTTCTAATTTGCAAAGTACTTTAATATGCATACCTCATATGCATTTATGACAATAACAACTACCAAGTGAGATAAGCAGGCAAGTGATTATAGTTCTTATTTTACTGACGAGGCAAGAGGCAGATATAAGTGACAGGACTGAAATGAAGGTTTTCAGGCTCCTCATCCAGTACACATATCCCATCATTCACTACAACTTCAAGTTTCAGCTCGACTGCTGTCATTTGTCTCTCTTTCATAAGCTGAGCGCTCCCTTCTTTACAATCCTACCCCACACATACCCTCCTATTCACTGTATTGCATGTCTGATTCTCCACCAGACCTAAACTCCTAGGAAATTAGGAGAGTGTGTTTTTAATTCCTGTGTATCTAGAAACTAACTAAAAAAAAAAATAGTGCAAAGAAAAAAGCTAGGAGGGGAATTAGGAAAAATGTATAGAATAACCAATTAGAAACTAAAACTTTGTAGAATGTAAATATTGTGTATATCTAGGATTTGATGCAGTTTTTCAAGTAGAGTCAGAGACAAAATAATTGGATTCTGGAAACTATTTCACAGGGAAAATTTGAAGTGACAATCAGACTTGGATAGAAAACACTAAGAGGAAACATGATACTTATTTTTAATATCTCAAGCTTTCACATAAAATGGAGTGTTCTATGTTTTTCCAAAGAAAAGAAAAGAACATCAACAAACAGGAGTTACAGTGGGCAAATTTTGGTCAGTATTAATAATCTCCTAATTAATATAGAGTCTCTCTTCTCATAGGTAGTGAACATAACTGAAGGGGCCAAATAATGAGAACATCTAACATCCATATGGAAAGAGCACTCAACTTTGGGGTAGAAAGATGTCATGCTATCATTGTGAATCCACAGTCTAGTAAACAAGACAAATCGAGATTCTCTAAACAGATGATTACTTAGTCTGGTTCAATGCAGTATGAGGCTTTTTAAAAAATATCACCTTAAACATTAATTTTGTTCTGAGCAGCAGCCATTAATTCTGGACATTTTTTTAAAATATTTCAAATCAGACACAGATATTGTGCATTTTATATAACTGTCAATTTATATAAGAATTATTACATGTTTCACTCACTTTTTCCACTATATATTTCCTTTTGTCTTGTAATAGGACAAAAAAGCAACATGGGCTTTTCAAGTTCAGTATGTGTCCTTTTCTTCTTTCTTGGAGTCAAAGTATATTGCCAATATGAAAGTTATCAATGGGATGAAGATTATGACCAAGAACCAGATGAAGTCTACCAAACTGAATTCCAATTTCAACAAAATATAAACTATGAAGCTTCATTTCATCAGCATACTTTAGGTTGCGCCAGTGAATGCTTCTGTCCACCTAACTTTCCATCATCAATGTATTGTGATAATCGCAAATTAAAGACTATCCCAAATATTCCAGCACACATTCAGCAAGTCTATCTTCAGTTCAATGAAATTGAGGCTGTGACTGCTGATTCATTTATCAATGCCACTCATCTTAAAGAAATCAACCTCAGCCACAATAAAATTAAATCTCAAAAGATTGATCATGGTGTCTTTGCTAAATTGTCAAATCTACTACAGCTTCACCTACAGCATAACAATTTAGAAGACTTTCCATTTCCTCTTCCTAAGTCTTTGGAAAGGATTTTTCTAGGTTACAATGAAATCTCCAGACTGCAGACAAATGCTGTGAATGGGCTTGTAAACCTGACCATGCTTGATCTCTGTTTTAATCAAATTGATGATTCTATGTTACAAGCAAAAGTACTTGCCAAAATGGAAAAATTGATGCAGCTCAACCTGTGTAATAACAGATTAGAATCAATGCCTCCTGGTTTGCCTTCTTCACTTATGTATCTGTCTTTAGAAAACAATTCAATATCTTCTATACCAGAAAATTACTTCAACGAACTTCCGAAACTTCACGCTCTAAGAATATCACACAACAAACTACAAGACATTCCACATAATATTTTTAATCTTTCCAACCTTATAGAGCTCAATGTTGGACACAACAAACTGAAGCAAGCATTCTATATTCCAAGGAATTTAGAACACCTATACCTAGAAAATAATGAAATTGAAAGTATGTAAAATTTCATTTTGTGTGTGTCTGTGTTTTACTATTTATTTATAGTTTTTATTTTATACTGGAGCATAGATGAATAACAATGTTGTGTTAGGGTCAGGTGTATAGCAAAGGAATTCAGTTATACATATGCAAATATGTTTTTTCAATTCTTCTCTCATTTAGGTTACTACCAAATATTGAGTAATGTTGCCTGTTCTAGACAGTAGGTCCTTGTTGGTTACCTATTTGATTTATCTATTTATTTATGGCTGTACTGGGTCTTTGCTGCTGCAAACGGGAGCTACTCTCTAGCTGGAGCACCACAGGCTTTAGTGTGGGTGCAGTAGTTGTGTTGCAGGGGCTTAGTTGCCCTGCTACATGTGGAATCTTCCCAGACCAAGGATCGAATCTGTGTTCACAGCATTGGCAGGCAGATTCTTAACCACTGAACCACCAGGGAAGTCCATTATTGTGTTTTAAAGACATAAAAAATCTTATTTTGTTCTTTTAAAGAACAGATCTTTAAAAATCCATGCTTTACATGGTGCTACAAATTACAAATGGTTGCTTTGAAGCTGGCTAGGGAAATGGCAGAAATGGGCCTCAGAGAAATTTGTACTTCAAGGTTTACAGTCTTTTCTATTAAATGTTATTACTTTGAACTTTGAGAATGTGTACTATAAAGTATATAAAAAAATATGAAATACTATAGAGTATACAAAGAAATATGAGATCTTGAATAGTAGAACTATATGTGATTTTCACTTTTTTTCTGAGATTGTTTCTGCTAAGAATTTATTACTTGAATAATTTATTTAGTAATTAAATAATTACTTAATAGCCAATGAAGCCATCATTCATTTTGATAATATAAAATTCATTTATAGTTTCATTTTATTATTTGATTACTATAAAAATAATTAAACCTAATAAGTATTTTAATAAAGTCCATTATAGTATTATGGATATAATACAGAAGGATTAATTTTTAATTTGTATTTTTCAGATATCAATGTCACAGTGATGTGTCCATCAGTTGATCCACTACATTACCACCATTTAACATACATTCGCGTAGATCAAAATAAGCTGAAAGCGCCAATAAGCTCATACATTTTCCTCTGCTTCCCTCATATACACACTATTTATTATGGTGAACAACAAAGCACTAATGGTCAAATGATACAACTGAAGACCCAAGTTTTCAGGAGATTTCCAGATGATGGTGATAGTGAAGATCATGATGATCATCATGAAGGCCCAGAAGAAGAAGGAACAGAAGAAAACATTGATGCTAACTATTATGGAAGTCAAGAATGGCAAGGAACTATATAGGTATACATTTATAACTTCATAAGATATTATTATTCAATATAAATTTAGCTAAATATGCATAGCTCATAGTAATATAGTTAGAATTGAGTACTTAGTATACTAAGATCAGATTGAATTTAGGTTGTTGATAACATCTGCATCATTATATAGGATTAGAATTTACTCAAAATGATACAAATCTTGTAGAAATATAAATTAGAATGACAAGTCGAATCAAAAACTACACTTTGAACATAAAATTATCATGCTGAGAAAAAAAACAGGTATGCTCATTTATTTATACAGTAATTTTTCTAAAAATGATGAAAGAAGTAGCATTAGAAGCTAACAATGGTAAACCACGTACTTTAAATCACTATGAGTATAGTGTTTAAATGCCAAGAGGTTATATTAATGTAATAGGCAGCAACTCATTTAAGGAATAGACTATTTTCTTTGATCTAATCTCCACAAAAGCTTTCATACTTTTTTTTGGCTATCATCACCATGACAGCCACCCACCCTGGTCCTACCACTTATAGCATAGAACGATAGCTTTGATTGTCAAAAGAGGTTATCCTAACTAAGGATTCAAGGCACACAAATTCATGAAATCAACTAGTCTTACTTTTTTGTTGTTTGTTTTAAATTTATTTATTTATTTTTTATTGAAGGATAATTGCTTTACAGAATTTTGCTGTTTTCTGCCAAACCTCAAAATGAGTCAGCCATAGGTATACATATATCCTCTCCCTCCTGAACCCCCTTCCCACCTCCCTCCCCATCCCACCCCTCCAGGCTGACACAGAGCCCCTGTTTGAGTTTCCTGAACCACACAGCAAATTCCCATCAGCCATTTATTTTACACATGGTAATGTAAGACTCCATGTTACTCTTTCCGTACATCTCACCCTCTCCTCCCCTCTCCCCGTGTCCATAAGTCTATTCTCTATGTGTTTCTCCACTGCTGCCCTGTGAATAAATTCTTCAATACCATTTTTCTAGATTCTGTATATATGCATTAGAATATGATATTTATCTTTCTCTTTCTGACTTACTTCACTCTGTATAATAGATTCTAGGTTCACTCACTGCACTAGAACTGACTTAAAGGTGTTCCTTTTTATGGCTGAGTAACATTCCATTGTGTATATGAACCACAACTTCTTTATCAACTCATCTGTTAATGGATATCTAGGTTGCTTCTATGTTCTAGCTATTGTAAACAGTGCTGCAATGAAAAATGGGATACATGTGCCTTTGAAATCAACTTGTCTTACTTTCCTCTCAGAGCACCAAAGCAACAAAAACTTAAACCTTGTATTTGGATGTCTGCATGTGTGCATGCTCAGAGAAGGAAATGGCACCCCACTCCAGTCCTCTTGCCTGGAAAATCCCATGGACGGAGGAGCCTGGTAGGCTGCAGTCCATGGGGTCGCGAAGAGTTGGACACAACTGAGCAACTTCACTTTCACTTTCCACTTTCATGCATTGGAGAAGGAAATGGCAACCCACTCCAGTGTTTTTGCCTGGAGAATCCCAAGGACGGGGGAGCTTGGGGGGCTGCCATCTATCGTGTCGCACAGAGTCGGACATGACTGAAGCAACTTAGCAGCAGCATGCGTGCATGCTAAGATGCTTCAGCCATATCTGATTCTTTGCAACCTTATGGACTGTAGCTGGCCAGGCTCCTCTGTCCACGGAGATTCTCCAGGCAAGAATACTGGAGTGGGTTGCCGTGCCCTCTTCTATGGGATCTTCCTGACCTAGGGATAGAACCCGCATCGCTTATGTCTCCCACATTGGCAGACGGGTTCTTTACCACTGACACCACCTGGGACACCCATTTGGATGCCAGAAAAACACCACAATTTGTATTTTAGCAAATTTCAGCTATTATACAACACAATCTTTTCTATGTTTCATTTTAATTGGGATAAATATTTTTATAATAAATTCACTAGAGAAAGGTTTTAATTACATAAAAATATGCTAATAAATAATTGCTCTATTCACAAGATTAAGTTAATGTTAGCACAAGAAAGTATATCAGCATTATTAAACACTTCTATTTTCCTAGCACAAAATATTAGAAACATATATGTATATCAGCCAATGTTTATGTACATAGTGCTAAAGTTGAATAGAATTCCTTTGAAATTTGAGTGACAGGTTTTGATATCTTCTTTAAAACCTTAATAATCACATATCATTTTGAAGCATTTTAAGTATGCTTTGTAATGAACTATAACTTCTATGATGAACTTTCTTGATTTACCAGGTTAGTATTTTATAGAATTCTTCAGGTAAGGAATAAACACAAATCTGGGACTGCCTATATAGGAAACTCCTAAAAAAATTTTTTTTAAAACAGTATTCAAAAAGATCAGACAATTAGAACAATATTTTAAAAGCAGTATTCTAGCAATGAGTCTAACTTTCTGGAGATGACAAGTTTAAAATGAAGCCTCTAATGTTCATTTATACCTTTGAGCAGGTTATTAACATTTAGGAGAAACAGACTACCCATGTGTCCTAGGGGCTAGCTCAACAATCCAGAACGAATATGAACAATACTCCATTCATTCACTTAATAAACCTTCATCAAGTCATTTGGCATGTAGGGCTTAGCAATGAGAGGTCAAACAGAATAGATACGTGCATCTGTGACACTGTAAGACAACAGCTGTGACAGTAAAGAGTAAAATGTTAGTGATGTGGGTAAAGCACATTTTCAAAAGAGGTAAAAAACTTTAAGGACCATCTCCCCCTTTACTGATATTTTAAAAAATAGGGTTACAAATGTAAACATTTATTATGAGCTAACATATGGAAAATATTGTGGATGTTTTAAGAGATGAGAAAGAGAAGACTATTTAAAATTTAATGAGCGCTATCAGGAAAATGCAAATTAAAAAAAACTGCAACCAGATAGTTTACATTCACTGGATTGCTGAAAGCAAAAAGGCAGAAAAACAATAAGTATACAGAAAGTGGAATCCACTGGTGACAAAGTCAAATTGTACAGCTACTTTGGAAAGTAGTCTGGCAGTCCTTCAGTTAGTCACCTATGAGCCAACAATTCCACTCCTAGATATATACCTAAGAAAACTGAACACATGTGGTCACACAAAAATATGTACACAAATGTTCACAGCAGCATTATCCACTTATAGTCAAAAAGTAGAAACCATCCAAATGTCCTTCAGCTGATGAAAGGATAAACAAAATGTGGTATATCCACACAATGGAATATTATTCAGTCAAAAGAAGGAAGGATGTTGATACATGTTATAATACAGATGAACCATGAAAACATTATGCTAGTTAGTGAAAAGTCAGTCACAGAAGAACATGTATTGCATGATTATATTTATATGAAATGTCTAAAACAGGCAAAACTATAGACACAGAAAGATTATTGGCTGCCTGGGGTTGGGGAGCAGGAGAAACAGGGGAACTAGGCAGTGACTGAGAATGGATAGAGAATTTCTTTTTGGGTGATGAAAATATTCTGAAATTGATTGTAGTGATGACTGTACAAGTTTGAACACACCAAAATCTACTGAACTGCACCCTTTAAAAAAGTGAGTTGTATGAGATGTGAATTATTTCAATAAAGCTGTTATTTAAAAATTTAACAAAGAAAATAAGAGTAATAACTTATTCTAACAAAAGGAAGAAAGAAAGAAAGAAAATGTGGCAGTAACTGAAAACTGATATGAACAGATATATTAACTTTACACTTTACTTCATATGTACACAGATATATTAACTTCTGGCCAGGATGTGGTGAAGCAACTGAAGGCTTCAAGGTAGAGGTGGTGCTTTGATGTGTGAGTAGTGACTGACTGGCAGGGGTGAAGAAAATAAGGTTCCAAGGTGAGACTAACATAAAGATGAGGTAATTAGTTGTTTTGCTTCTTGTACAGTTAAAACATTCCAAATTTTGAGAATTCTGGAGCACCTATTTTTATCTCCTCCTAAACTGACAGAAGAAGATACATTTAAGAACAGGCTTAGCAAAGAAAAAACTTGATGGTAACATGGAATTTGAAATCAGATATACCTTGGTAGAAGCCTGACTTCACTCGTGTAGCTAAGCAAGATGACTCTGAGTGAGTTACTTCTTGAAGTCTCTCTTTCTGCATTTCTGTAAGGAAAGTGGTTCTCACAGGGCTGTTATAAGGACATGTAGAGATAGTATATACATACCATAGCATTTAACAAAGCACATTCCAGTTACAAGGGTTACCTGTGGCTCAGCAGTAAAGAATGCCTGCAATGCAGGAGACGAAGGAGATGCAGGTTTGATCCCTGGGTAGGGAAGATCTCCTGGAGGAGGAAATGGCAATCTACTCCAGTACTCCTGTCGAGACAATTCTACAGAAAGAGGAGGCTGGCAGGCTACAGCCTGGGGGGTCACAAAGAGCGACTGAGCACACACACACATGCATGCCAGTTACAGGTATCCTACAAGCAGGAACTATTATTGCAGCATGTCCAGCCCAACCTCCCACTGGATCTATGTGTCCTGAGCCGTTAGCTGTGCTTCACATGCCTCAGTGGACCCTCTAGAAAGGAGTTTGCATCTTTCAGGTTCCTTCCAAGGTTCTATTTGTACAAAAGATTAGTAAACAAGAGAGAATTTACTAAAGGTTTCATTAGGGAGAGAGGAGATCTAAAATCATATATCCACAACAAACATATTCCAAGTCATTATTTGATGGTTTAACTTTCCAAAGCACCTCTAGATAACCTAGAAAGATGGGGAGCAGAGCTTACCAGACCCTTCAGGAGGCATTTGGCTGCCTGGCTCCTCTGGCCAGAGTAAGGTGAAACTCTTCCTATCTATTAGACAGAAGAGGTCAAAGAGGCCAACTCTGCTCTCCCTTTAAAGGCAAGTACATATAAATATGTCACAAAATGTCCTCCAGCTGCAGGGCCCAGAGGGAGGCAGATGAACAACCATCTTACATTACTCAAAAACACCCAGAGGAACTCATACTCCAAGGAGTTCT